CATATTCGAATATAAAAAATAACGAAATAATTCTTTATTTGAAATTGCTATTATTTCAAATGAACCGATATTATCTCTATTTTCGAATAACAGTTGAAAATTAATTATTTCGAACAGTTATTTTTTATATTCATTTAAAATAGATTTTATCCCGGTCTAGGTCGATTAACGCTAGAACTTTTGAGGGTGGCTCCTCAACGAACCCACAAGTTTAATAATTATAAACTAAACCGATTTCCTTAGAATATTCGCAAACAATTATATATTGTCGATTTACACGTTGACATTTGGTATTTAAAATATTCTCTACTTCATGCAAGAAACTCTTGGTATTAGAAATATAAAATCTACTGCATATTTAATTAGGAGGAACAGAAAGATTTTATAAATAAATAATAGAAGTCAAACCTGAAAAACTGAAATATGAGGAATTGTCTAAACTCAAACAAAATTGTTTTAAATGCAAATATCCTGTATGTAAAAAGTACTCTGTGAATATTGTAATTTGCCCATCATGTTTATGTATAAAGTAATTTCACGTAGGCATATATATTTTTCACGGTTTCGTTTTCGAGGAAAATGGAATTCAGAATCGATCTGATTCGTGTGCATCAGAAGGAGAAGTAAAAATTACATCCCCAATTCTATTAATTAATGCAGACAAGTAACGATAACAAACTGAATCTATTGACACCGTATTCTATACAAAAACGATCACAGCAATTATATGTATCAGTTGCCAACACGATTCCGTTTATTTTTTATTTTTTAATTATGTACATAATTATTTATTACTTCTAAAAGTGTGCAAGGAAGAGTATAAATGCTGTCTAGAAAGTTGTTGTAAAGCAAAAAATATAAACCTAAACACTAGTTTCTCTAATTTATGACACAATCAATTTCACTCATTTAGGTCAATTGACAACTATTTGTTTAAACGATTTTCTTCGTGAATATCACAGATCAAGTCAAGCAGATTAATGTAAGGTTAATTTCTAAATTATGATCATGTAAATTACGAAATGAAGTTAAAGTACAAAAATTATACGAATCTTTCCACGACAAATGTTGGTGAGTTAACGCATTTCTAAAAAGTTGTTTGCAGATTAAACTGCCACAAAAATGCATTTCAATTTAAAAATTCAACAGTTTTTAACTAGTAACCAAATAAACTATAAAGAACGCCTCCGAAAAGAAATATTATAAACGGAACTCAAATTTGAGTCTATAGTAATCAGAAATGTAAAACAAGATGTGCATTTAGATAATTTTCGATTAGCACCGTGCAAAAAGAATTTTACAGAAACCATGCAACTGAGTCGGCCGCGACAATGTCTCCTCGTGATGAAGATAGCAAGCACAAAGCCAAAGATATTTTCATATAGTTGTTCGTGATATAATTCATATAATTATTATACATAATTATCTCCGTAGCAAAATGGAATTAAGCATAAAGTAACGGAGTGGGTTAAAGGTCGCGCAAGAAATAAATATGTTATAACTATGTATACCGCAATCTCGCGACTACGACAACGGGAAATAACAAGGACGGAAGACTAATGCATAAGATTTACAAGCAAAAGCTCTCTTCGTTGTTCCTCCGCAACTGTTGATGAGTATTCGCATCAAACGGGGCACGTGCTTCTGTTCGGAGCATCCATTTCAAACCGAATACATTGTGTCCCTTGTGTCTTCCCTTAAATACAAAGTGAATCACTTCATTCACACGATCTATCGTCAGCTTCCCGAACTTATACGAATTTCATACCCGTTCTCCTAACGAAGAGAAACTACCCTTACGAACGAGTCCATTTTTACTAGATGAACCAAACCCATTCAATCTCCAACTCATCGACATACATCCCCGTCTATGTGAACACATCCTCGATTAAGATGGTTAACTTTAAAAAGTTTTAAAATCATTAATGGACATTATTATGATTGTTGTGTTTACTTCATACTTATCAGAGAATATATTTTACCAATTAAATCTTCTTTTCGTCGATTGCACCTCAAACTTCTTTTACTTATTTTGGCATTCCAGCTATGAATTTTTTCATTATAACCGAACAAGTATTCTTCCATTCGGCTTGTAATATTCACGGTAATGCGAAGTAAGGAAACCACGACAAACGACCGCACGCAACGTAACAAACTATTAATTAATTAAAGTACTTAAATAATTAAATCACTCAATTTAGTACCACTAGATGTTGCTGAATATACATCCGAAATAGAATTTGCCGACACACATCGTTTTATGGCATTAATATTTTTAAATATTATATTAAAATATTATATTATATTTAAATATTATTATATATATATTTTTTTAAATTATACCATTTACATAATTTATTCATTAAAAGTGGTAACTGTCCACATACTTATGCACGGGAGTGTACATTTTGAGTGCATAAACACTAGAAGTACCGAACCAGTAAAACCAGGTTGGTTTTCTGGTAATTTTTCTTACAGTTTTCAATATCATGAAACTGTTTCTGTGAAAAGTTTTTAGATAAACTTCTCTATTTACGCATACATTATGATAGAAGATCCAAATCTGAATTTCATTTGTACCCGATCTTGTTCGCGATAATTTCCACCATTTTTTAGGAACACAATGGAGGGGGGACGGACGTATTGAATTAAAATTACGTTACTGCTCTATTAA